AAATTGACCTTTTAATGGTATTGTTACGTGTCGGGATGGGGTTCGAAATTATATACCAGTTCACGATTGAGTTCTTTATTCACCACACAGTTCACACAATTAACACACAATGTTAATTACAAAACACTCACTAAACACTGTATTTCACTATACAAGTCTATAAACAATCTCACTTGAACACTTTTGTTGCACTTTGATCGCCTTTGGATTCGCTCCGAAATCGCTGTTGAAACTCAACTGTCTCTGCGCGGCGCCAATCGCCCTTATATACGCCGATCGATGCATTCTAGAAAGTAAATAAATAAATATTTCCAACACTCACACCAATTAGCCTAGCCCCAAAGTAAGCACTATAAGGCTTGTGTTATGGGATACTAGGGTAACGGATAGAATACATAAACTGTACATATATAAGTATATTTTTTTTTTATAGAAATACATATTAAACATCCATGACTGGAGTACAAATGCTCGTATTCATCACACAAACATCTGTCCCCACCGGGATTTGAACCCGGGACCTCTCGAGTCGGCGACATTATGAAACCCGGCGTACAAACCACTCGACCACGGAGGTCGTCGAAAGTCGAAGTTCTAGAAAGTACCTGTTAAATTGAGAATTACCTAGCACCCGCGAGTACGAAATACCTACGCAAGTAACACGCATAACTTGTAAACAAGTGCAGATGTCGTTGCACTTTCTCCTTTACGTCGCACTGCATAAGGCTCATTTTAGAATGAGCCGCCTTACTCGGACTTCTATTGCGACCCGCGGTGCTCTGGCAAATTCGATCTCTAGCACATTCGCGGTTCCGTTTCGAGAGCGTTTGTGACAGTATAATGGACAACCAAGAATTTCTTTTAATGACATCTTTCGGGAAGCTGAAACATAAACAAAGGTATAAGACCGCTGCTAGATAGCTGTTATTAAATAGGTTTTCTACATCTAATCAACATGATCTACTACAGTATTTATTATAAACTTATTTTCATAATAATTAATATTTACAATAATACTTATGTATTTTAACTTTCTCAAAATATCTCAAGTGTAGTGATAATGGTTACCCTACAAAACCAAAATTTATATTATTTTAATTTAATAAACTGCTGAATATGGTACCAAATGTAGTGAATAAAACAAGAATAACTTTAATTTATAGCCTCAGGACACTATGATTTATAAATACTAATGTTTTATTATGATTACAACATAAAAATATAGGAATATGTTTATTTCGGTATTGGCGTAATGTAATAGACTTACCTGTGAAATTTAGTGCTGGAATTTGGTTCCCAAACACTTCTGCAATCTCACACAACACAATACACATTATAAATAGCAAATTGAACAATTTAACACTTTTTAATAATAATCTAAACATTCGAAGCGGTAGATTTTTTTTGACAGATGGGGATATTCTTCAGTTGATTTTTTAATTAGTGTTGCTATTATACCAAAATGGTAGCAACCACCAAACAGGGAAATAAAGGGCGTATTTATTATTTAGTTTTAAATATTGATTTCAAAGTAGTTGGTTAGAATTTGTCACACTCATCTTATAATAGTAATACAAGAGTAGGACTTCTGGAGATTGTAAAACTGATTGATATCTTGCATAATTCTGTTTATTTTCACTTTCTGATTGGAATTTCTTGTATTTAACATGGTAATTTCAGATAGTGTGTGAGAGAGATAAAAAACATATCATGGGGTTAATGAACTCATCTTCATACAGAAGTTCTACATGCAATCTCCAGTGTTGTATATAAGCTTCTTGCTCAGCTATCTCTTTCACAAACTGTGCTTGCCACAAAAAAAAGAAAAAGAAGAAGAAGCTATCCAAAGCAAAGAGTAAAGTAAGTATACCAAAAGCTGCGGCAATAAAGTGTGAAGTTTGTTTAATCGAGTCATCGAGCATACGATATCGTGAAAACGAGGAGTGAAATTCTATACTCATACTGCGACACAATTCGAAAACGTAAAGTTTGATCGATTCGACGAAGACGATCGTTTGTTTCGTTTTAAAAAAACTAATACTAAGGGTACAGAACGTTACTTTTGTAAAATTTTGCGTTACTTTTAGCATTTCGAGCTGCCTCAAAACGTAAATTTTTAATTAAAAGAAAAAAATAGGTAAATATCATTCATTTACCAAATGCCAAATTCCGTTTAACATGAAATAAACGAAAATGATTTGCCCGGCTCTGTAATATATTTTAATTAGATGGAATATGAGTATAAAACTTGGTTAAAACTACATCATCTAAAACAGAAAAAAAACACAGATTTAAAAGATTGTTTTGTTGCACGTGTGGGATCTCGTTTTTTTTACAAACTCAGGACTATCGATCGGGATTCTAGACATAATTCGCTAATCAAGAATTAGGCTGCAGTCTTTTGTAAAGCGGAGGTTAAGTTATTATTCAGACAGATGAAATGATTTAAAAAAAATATGAAGAACGTAGATACGTTAAGAGAGGGCATAGCAGATTTTCCGTTCGAATTGGAGTGCCCGTCTAGGGAAGTAACCTCCACCTTACCCTTTTGGTGGTACTGTGAATCTGTCGGTGAGTAACGTTCCACCAGGGCTCCACGGCAGTGGCGAAGCCTTCTTAGAACATGATTCCCGCCGGCTTACCTTGCTAGATTCTAAAACCTCTTCCACACGACACAATTTGTATGCCAATCTGATTGCCGATTGAATTGGGTACAATCTGGTCGTCCGTCTACACATACACAACAAGATCGCCAATTTCAGTTTTATTTGTTGCCTCTGCTGAACGGACTTGTTTGTATTAGGATGCCTCTTACCAAGAAGCAAAAATTGGATTAATCTTGGGTCTAACTACAAATGTAGATGAGAAAAAAAGAAAAAGAAGACTGTGGACAAAACAATGGTTATTAAAAAGAAAGCAATTGAGGCACATAAATGTAGTTATATTATATTTAAGAGACTCAATTAATAAACTTAAATATAGTTATACTTAAAGAGTAATATTTTTAAAGAAAATATAACTAGAAAAAAATCCACGCGGACCAGGCAGCAGACGGGACTCGAACCCGCACCCTTCGAAAACCCTTTAAAATATAACTGAGTTATATTTTCTTTAGATTTAAATATCAAGCAGTTATATGCTTTAAAAATAATAAAAATTATAACTATAATTGCTGTTTCTTCTTTCAAATGTTTAATACTTGTAAAAGTATTCATTTGACATTGTTTGGTTACCTATGATGCGAAGAGATGGCGCTGCCTTGCAACTTAAGAATGGCTGGAAGAATTGCGACGCGGTCCGTGAGGGCCGCGGTAGCATAATTGGTCAGTGCATTCGCCCGGATTGCGAGGGGTGTGGGTTCGAGTCCCGTCTGCTGCCTGGTCCGCGTGGATTTTTTTCTAGTTATATTTTCATTAGATTTAAACATTAAGCAATTACATGCTTAAAAAATAAAAATTATAAAAAAATATATAATATTATTTCTTTTTTTTCCCCAGCATGCGCGTATATCATTGAGTAGAATATAAATTTATTTAAATGATTTTTTATTTTCAATAACAAATAACTGCCTGGTCCGCTTTTGAATTTTTTCTAGTTATATTTTCTTTAGATTTAAACATTAAGCAGTTACATGCTTTAAAAATAATAAAAATTATAACAGTAATATTTTTATCAATATTTTTCCACTTATTCCGCAAAATCTCTAAGGAATTATGCCTTGCTTGTTTATTTTTATATAATGGGTTAGACACATCCCAAAGGCATGGCAAGTCTTTACATATATCTTAAATCTCCTCCATTACTTCCCCTTCAGATCGAATAGACATAATATTGTCGTCATGTTGCTCCATCTTCTTCTCAAAAGACAAGTCAACGCACACATCCGCTCTGAACGCCGCTTGCACAGTGACTACGTTAAAAAATTGGCCAGTTAGCGTCCACACCACCCAATTTGATTGGGCAATCCCGAATCGGGCGATACCGACCATCCAATGACCTTCAATTTCATATTTCCGTCCACACAACACAATTCGATTGTCAATCTAATCAAATTAGACTTAAAATTGTATCGTGTGGAAGCCACTTTATATATGCAACCACTCGTCGATAAAACAGCGATATAACCCGGTCTTAGATAGCCTGCAATCTTTATATGTCATGTGTTAAGGTTTCGTTTCGCTTGAAGTTTTCGACCAATCAGATCTCGCCAAGCGGCGAAGTGGCGGCGGCGGTCGGCCTGTTATGTCAACTGAGGTCAGTATTTCGCGCGCATTCGTATCGACGGATTCGTATGCTAATTTATCTATTATGATAAGTGATTAGATTGATTGTTTTACCTATACTGTTTATAAAAATCCAAATTAGTCAAATTTTACTTGCTTAGTGTTGTGTTTAATCTCGTGTTTTAAACGGCTTTAAACGTGTGCTTAAAAAAGTTTTTTAAAGCCACTTTTATCATACTCGACATGCACTGTTCATTTAATACTAGTGATGTCATGTATGGTGAAGGTGGTGAACACTAACAACTGTACAGCAACTGTACTGTAGTAGTTTTGAGAAAGGTGAACTAACACACTATTATAAGGCATGTAATTTATTTCATGTTTTTTTTACAAGTTAAGATATGACGTTTTGCTTATTCTCGCGATTTTTTTGCTACGGTTTTACCTTTCTATTTTTCACCCCACGCCACTGCTCCACGGGGTAGGGGATTGGGTCAGGGTAGATATGCGAGTGATATGGCGGGCCATACACTCCTTTGCCACCTTTTAACATATATAAAAAAATAATTGGTTGTTTGTAGAGTCGGTTTACGGAAGATAATTTTACGTGATAACGTGTCGTTCGCTGTTTTCCTCGGAGAAGTTTTATGGGGCTTTTTGTTCTGATTCGTTTAAGTCCAAGCACCCCAATGCAGCGTCTCTATTTTTTTATAAAAAAATGTCCAACCGTCTTTCCTATGTAGTGTAGACTTACAAAAAATATAAATAAAAATGTTTTCCAACTCTTAATAATTTATTATTCATCACAGTAAAATTAGAGGGTAGGTAAGTCGCCGCAATTATTGGCAATTAAGAAGTGTTTTTCCACATTCACATGTGTACAGATGCGTTGTGGTTACATTCATTCTTTATTACTTCTGTATAGGGCGGCGGCGGAATGCTGTCATCTGGCACCTGTTGATAGAATTTATCATCATCATCATATTAAAGTCCTCACTGCTGGGGCACAGACCTTCAGGATGGAATAGGGAAATTGGGGCGCGTCTTGCCACGCGGGTCCAGTGCATATAGGTGGGTTGTAACGACTGCCGGGACCAACAGTTAACGTTTCTTCCGAAGCACGGAGGAGCTCGAGATAATAGATTTTTGGTCACCCATCAAATGACCATCATATACGAAAATTGCATAACTTGCACGATTGCAGGCCGAACGCTCTAACCACCTGCGCTATCGAGCTCCTCATCGTTGATCGAATTAATCTATTTAAAAATAAAATGTAAGTACCTAGATAATAATGGTAACTTTAGTGAGATAGATTGGTGATGATTATTGTAAAACGGTGAGAATGGCTCGGTATTTTTTTTATAAATACAACTCTTACTAGCTTTACATTGCCAATTTTATAATGAGATTATCAAGATCTTTAATCAAGATAAGTAAACATTAAAACTGTTCAGAGGTTTAAGATAGATTGAGCTACTTTCGCATTTATAGTATCAGTATTTATGGAAGTCTTATAAATGCTCACAAAACAATTGTTGGTATAAACCACTGGAGACAATGTAGTAGTAGCAGCAGCTGCATTAGTGGTAACGTCGCTGACGTTATTTTGCGAAGTTCTTGAATATCTGAAATAAACGAAATCGTTTTTGATAAAGTTATTTTTGAAGTTATACTTCTTTAGGCGCGTTATGAAAAATGATGAGAGTGAAATTTTAAGATGCGCGCGCATCACTGTAACACAAAATTTTAACAGCATGAAGTTGGTCGCTTTAGCGACCAACTTCATGCGTTACTTTTGTGTTTACCGCACATTAAGAAAATTACCAACAAAATAGAAATAGAATCTCTATTTAGTGGGTGCTAAGGTTAGTAAGTGCTTTGTGAAGGCCTATCAAAAGTATTTATTAATCTGGAACAACGGAACCAGAGCGCGATTCAGGAGACTACAGCGCCATCTCTTGACCATTGGTGTAGTAGAACCAAAAACCACATCTTTACTCTTTGTAATAAAGTAACAGTTATAGGTATTCATATTTATAATATCAAAAGTATTTATTAATCTGGAACAACGGAACCAAAGCGCGATTCAGGAGACTACAGCGCCATCTCTTGACCATTGGTGTAGTAGAACCAAAAACCACATCTTTAGTTTTTGTAATAAAGTAACAGTTATAGGTATTCATATTTATAATATTTATCCACATGTTTCTAGTTTGTATATTCGGAATACGTGTTTGAGTTTCATACAAGTGCAAATCACATATGTTCTAATAAATTATATTCAGTAGCGATTTTAATTGAATATTTTGATTATTTATTTATTTTTTCAAATTAAAACTGAACTTTATTGACTGTGTCCTTTTCCAGACTTTTTATTAATTTATTGTAATTAATTATTTGCATGCAATTAAAAACTAATTTTAAACGATCGATGCCAAAGAAGGATAACTTCTCACGCGCCTACATAAGTACACGCACCCATTTTTTTTATTTATAAAGCCTACCAAACCTTTAAAGATGTAGGTAATTTTAATGTGATGAAGTAGAAGAAATAGTAGAAATAAGTTAATGTTACAAGATATAGAGAATAAAATAACAACATCGTAATATATAAAGGAGATTGGTCAAATTGGCAAACGCACAAAAAAATATTGACATACACGGTAATTCTTGGCGTAATTTATAATTTAATTTACAGTCTCATAAAAAACAAGGTACATGGTAACAATCCCGTTAATAGCTATAATAATTTACAGTCATTAGATTTCAACGGACACTTTTGTATAATATATGTACTTTAAAAAGGACTTTTAATTTTACCGGTTTTGAAAACATACAAATCATTTTTAATGGCTATGGGTGTAGTAACATTCAGCCAAAAACTGATCGAAGTTGTTTATATAACAAAAAAACAAATCTATTTTGTAAAGATCGATAAAATAAATCATTTTTGACGTGACAACGTCTTAAATTAGGTTGCGGCTGGGAGTCACTTATGAAAAAGTGTAACGCTCGGTAACGTTACGATGAGTCTCTCGTGTTAAGTTTAAGTTTACATGTACAATGTTTTAGTGAACAAAATATATTTCTATAGTTAAAATTTGTGCAATTCTTATTTTCATTCAATTCCTTGTTCCTATTGTGCAATTTAATTATATTCATATCAATAAATATTCTACCGAGAAAAAGACGTTGTCACGTAAAATCTTCGCCCGTAAAACCGACTTTACAGGCAACCATTTTTTTTTATTACACTATGGTATTAATATCCACAACTATATTATCATTTTCACTACACGCAAATGTGCTCAGACAATTATTATAGATGGTAGGCGACATCATAAAGTCCATTGCCATACAATTTTCGCCAAACACCTCCATAAACACATTATAATCTGTATATATGTTAGACTTTAAGGTATCTATCTATGGGCCTACGTTGCCTGACTATAAATTAGTAATAAATAAATAAAATTATAAGGTGTGATACACTAAAAATCTAAAATATGGTTATATTAAAAACATAACAAAAATAATGAAGCTACTGAATATGTGGCTATATAACGTAAATCTCTGAGCTTTCTTTGGTTAACGAGAGTTTAAAAATTCTCTCTAATCTGTGGCATATTCACAATCATCACACAGTTTCTGTTACAGAGTACCTTATTATAACCGGAAATGCATAGATGACACCTGATTTTATAAGTTACTCTTATGCATTAACTTTAAATCTGTCTAATCTACATGCTCTATATATCTGAATCTAATCCATAATTTCGGTACTAGGCTTGATTTCTCTAGTTTACTATATAACTTTTTTGTTTTTTATTATTTTAATATGTTCAGTGTATATGGTTTATAGAAGTTCTCAGGGGTGTCCGTCAATAATATTCGTTTCTACAGTAATTTACATATAATTTCGAATCTTGGAAACAATTTTTCATGATGGTCTTTAGGCCAAACATGTATGGAAGCTGAGCAATCTCCTTTATATACAAATTACCTTAAGCTACTTATAAATAATATAATTTTAAATTTTATCAACTACTTGTTTTTTGTCAGAATATTGAAATCGTTCCCAATATGCATGTTATATACAAATGCCAATAATTGGTAGGCACTTCTTCTTTCATATTGTCATATAGCCTATATTTCAGGTACAAACCTTGGGGGAGCATCTCTCAGTCTCTCATCGACGTACATTTGTAAACTGCTCACGGACTGTCTGTCGCCATTTGATCTGCTGATACCCAGTGACCTGTAAGAAAATCTAATTAATTTAGAGTTGAAGAAACCTCTATATGTAATTAATTAATATTGTTTTCCCTTTTGTTCGTTTCACTTATTTGGGAAAAGGTTGCGCACAGTGGATTTCCCGCTCGAACTAAAGCGCTCTTCCGAAGAAGCAAAATCCATTTCGCAAAAGACTGCAGTTTCCAGAACTTCACGGTGTTGGGGATGGGGGTCAGTGGAAGCATGCTCTTAATGTTGAATTGAAGGTACGGTATATCAACTCGCAACCGTTTGGAGGCTTTTGCGGCCCCTTACTATTAGGCGAACCATATGTTGATTATTAATATAGGATTATAAATATGACGGTATATCTAATTCTTCCAATTTGTGAAATCGTGCTGACAGTTCGCTAGCGATCCATTGTAGGATCATTCAAGGTATGATAATGATATTAAATAAAATAGTGATCTTGAGTGAGAATTCTTTTAATTTACCTTAAATGTGGTACCGAACACAATTTTAACAGCAACATTAATGTGGCTATAATCCCAAGGACGAGAGCAATGGCCATTATCAGTTGGGTAGTTGTCACTAGTAAAAATTGGTCAACGGTGTCCCTGGAAAACAAATGATTATATATGATACTAGCTGACTCGGCGAACTTCCTACCGCCCAAAAGTAATAATTTGCAATAAATTAAAATTGCGACTATAATTTGAGATTTAAACTATCCTATCTCTCAAGTTGGATCGAACTGCACATGGTGTGCGAATTTTATTATAATCGGTTCAGTGGTTTAGGAGTCCATTGAGGACAAACATTGTGACACGAGATTTATATATATTAAGATATAAAAGAAATGATTGACGTTTCATTCAATATTTCTGGACCAATGCTTACGCTTTGTAATTAATTTTAAGTAAAGAATCTAGATTTTATTTAAATTTTATAATTTAGCTTTAGAATGAATAAAAATTGTGTTGAGTTTTTTTATTTTTTATTTATTAATATGTTAAATTATTCATTTTTGATTATTTCATAGCTGTAAGTATAATATAGTGTGAAATAATACAAACATTGTGATCGAAATCAGAGTAATAATAAATTAGAGTTCTCTCGCACCTATCGGAATAGCTAAACTTCTAAAACTTTATACTTTGGCTATAATATTTTGTGAACGAATTTTTGCATGCAAGCCTAAATGATTGGTTTTGTAATTAAAATATCTTACCTATGATATAAATTTCGATTGGTTAACAGATCGGTGTAGTTACCTATATTGACTTACCTATTTACATCTGCTTGCCAGGTAGCCATGCACAGAAATAAGTAGGCAAGCCTATCTTTTGGTTATCAAAAGAGTGAAGGCGATGAAAGAAAATTGATTAAAATTAATTAAATTAAAAATAGCTATGAACACTTTTGATAGGCAAGTCATCATAGGCATATTATTTGTTTAAAAATTACATTTGATATGAAATATGTCTCATCGAGTTATCAGATCGGTGAAGGTCGACCCCCACAGGCTCTTAGACTATTACGGTGTTAAAAAAATCGATACCTAGAATGTACAATTTACTACTAAAGACATTATACAATAAATTATAAAAATACTTTTTCTTATAAAAAAGTAAATAAATTTTCATTTAAATACATATTTCAACGGTGATTCATTACATTGAGTCAGGGCCGATAATTTTTAGAACGAAAAAACTCAGAACCTAATTATGGCCATTTCAATAGAACTCAAAGAAAAAAAGAGGAGAAATAATTTACGACCGATTTAAAGGTGTAACGGGTAGGCGGGATGACCATTTATTGGTGTAAAAATGGTTTATGGCGATTTTTGGGAAAACTACTACTCTTATCGAAAAAACTTAAATGGCGAAGTTGTTGTAATTAAAGATCTAGAACTCTTGTATTTTCACTTTTTTTCACATAATATGGAAATATCTTCGAAAAATCAAAATAACGGACATTTACTTAGAAGGTCACTCCCACCCTCACTTTTTTAATGTATTCTCTTCCTTTTGTAGTGGGATTTCATCCTGTTATGATTATTTTGCAATTTTACCATTTTGATTTAAAGGCATCGGCCCTGCTCTGACCTACATGTAAGTAAAGTAGTCGAGACCGCTTGAGATACTCCGGATATTATACAAATTACATAGAAATCCAGGGAATCAACTCAGTCATGAATTGATTAACAAAAGGGAGTGATAGTGGAGTGGAGAATTTACAAAGTAACACTAAGCAATAAGATTTAGGCAAAAAACAGTCTTGCTGGGCACAGAATAGATACACGCGTAGTGCTTCTCTTTGCAAGAAAGTGTATGGGAGAGGGGTAAGGGGGGGGAACGGATTTAACATCTTTCCGGCCCCAACTGTCAACCTCACCTGCACGCGCGGACAATATACATCATCCGCGGCGGTATTTATATACCGCGGTCCCCCTGCTAGATAACAGACGAGGCAATGGCGACCGAGCAGTGGCGGTATAACCACACTCCTGACCAGAGGTCAGAAGAGGCTACAGGGGCCTTGGGGTACAAATAACCTCTAAAATAACTGGTGCAGAAGGCAACGGGAAACCACTGCAACTAATCTCCCGAGAAAATCGTTATGAAAGTAGACACAGAGAGATCACAATTGCCATGCGAACCGCCTAGCGACCGGCGCCGCGCCGCGTCCGGGGCGTGCGGTGAGAAATGGACTACCGGCCATGTTGGAGTAGGAGACCAGGCTCCGCATGGAAAAAATGCTACTGGAAACTCCATCAAGTTGCGAAAAATCCAGAAGATAGGCACGTGGAATGTTCGCGGCTTGTTAAAACCCGGTAAATTTAACATCGTAGAGAGGGAAGTCACCAGATGTGATTTATGCATTTGTGGACTATCTGAAACCCACTGGAGAGGCAACGGGCATTTCCTTACCGACACCAATACAGTCTACTTTTCCGGCAATGACGACAGTAGCCAAAACGGAGTAGCAATACTTATTCCTAAGCGTCTAAATAACAGTGTGATAGGGTATGAGGCAGTTAGCGACCGCATCATATCCATGAAGCTTAAAGCGTCACCTGTAAATTTGAACCTGATACAGGTATATGCTCCCACCAGTGAAGCTTTACCCACCGTCCTGGAGAGTTTTTACAAAGAACTACAAACAACGATTGCCAAAATCCCCAGCAGAGAGCTGCTTATAATCATCGGTGATTTTAATTCGAAAATTGGTGCAAACTCTGCCCAGTATAGTAAATGTGTGGGAAACTTCGGACTTGGAGTACGTAATGGAAGAGGTGAAAGATTTATGCAGATCGCAGACGAAAACAGCTTGGTGGTGGCAAACAGTCTATTCCAACACCATCCACGTAGACTGTTCACCTGGACCTCGCCTGGAGGTAAGGCCAAAAACCAGATCGACTACATACTGATTGGATCGCGCTGGCGCACCTCCATTCTCAACGCTCACACGCTTCCTGGGGCTGATTGTGGTTCCGACCATGAACTCGTTATCGCAAAGATACGGTTGAAACTCAAAGCTGCCCGATCCTCCAAGAAAATAAGACGGATTGAAGTAACAGATAGCGAGAAGCTCAATGCAGCCTTTGAGCGGAAATGGATGGAATGGACAGATGCAAACCACAATGAAGCTACACCAGACATGCTATGGAATAAAGCTAAACATCTCATCCAAAGTGCAGTGGCGGAGTCTAATCCAAGATCAGAAACCCGCAAACGTCAACATTGGATGACGGATAGTACTCTTGCTCTAATCGAGGAGAGGCGCCTTAAGAAAGCTGCAGGAACAGACATAAGGGAGTTGAATAAGATGTCTGCTAACATCCAAGCCTGCTGCAGGAGAGACCACAACCGCCATCTTCATAGCATTTGTGAAGAGGTTGAAAAACACGCTCTGAAGCACGAGTCTCGAGATCTATACCACAAAATTCGTCTTATTACCAAATCTCTACCGGCTCGAACCTGGGCCATTGAGAACGACAGAAATGAAGTGGTAACAGAGCTCGAACAAATCTCCGAAACGTGGAAGAACTACTGTCAGTCATTATTCCGAGACCCGCAGTCACGACAGTTTGCAAGTACAGACCCAGAACGGGAGAATTTGGAACCAGACATTCTACTGTCCGAAGTAAGAGCTGCCATAAAACATCTGAAATGTAAAAAAGCAACTGGTAGAGATGCAATTCCGATAGAGACAATTAAAGCCTTAGGAGATCGTGGCGACCAGATGTTTCATCTTATTTGCAACAAGGTATGGCAGACAGGAGTTTGGCCTACTGAATGGACACACACCGTTTTCACACCCTTGCACAAAAAAGGTTCGACAAAGAAATGTAACAATTACCGCTTCATTGCTCTAATATCACACGCTAGCAAAATAATGTTGCATATTCTCAACGAGCGACTGAAAACCTACCTTTCTAAGGAGATCGCTCCGGAACAAGCCGGTTTTGTGAAGGGGAAAGGCACTCGGGAACAAATTCTCATCGTACGTCAGATCATCGAGAAGTCGAGAGAATTCAATAAGCCCTTATTCATTTGCTTTGTTGATTTCTCCAAAGCATTCGATTCGGTGAAATGGCCGGTATTATGGAAGACCTTGCTAGATATGGGCACACCAAAACATCTTGTTCACCTTTTAAGACGCCTATATGAAGAACGCACAGCCTCAGTGCGCACAGATGATGTCCTATCAGGTGATTTCCATCCTAGTGCAGGAGTACGCCAGGGATGCATAATATCCCCGCTCTTATTCAACGCCTACACAGAGCTGATAATGCGCATCACTTTGGAGCACTGGACGGCCGGAGTTACAATTGGTGGATACAGAATTGCAAACTTACGTTACGCGGATGACACCACCTTATTTGCAACCAGTTCACAACACTTGGATGAGCTACTGTCAAAGATGGAGCGAGTGAGCCGTGAGTTTGGCCTTAAAATTAATCGCAGCAAGACCAAGGTAATGATTGTTGACCGTGCCAGAAATAATTCGCCTGAAGTGACACAAATCGCGAATTGCACTGTGGTCCAATCTTATATCTATCTTGGGGCCCTGATTTCAAACAATGGCGGATGCATCGATGAAATCAAACGACGTATGGGCATCACAAGATCAGCGATGGACAAGATGCGGAAAATATGGAGGAACAGAAACATTACTAAAGCCACAAAGACCAAGCTTGTGAGGACACTTATATTCCCCATATTTCTTTACGCGGCTGAGACGTGGACTTTGCGAGATGTGGAAAGGCAGAAAGTGGACGCTTTGGAAATGTGGTGCTGGAGAAGAATGCTTGGGGTTTCGTGGACCGAGTTTCGCACGAACGTCTCGATACTTCAAGTACTCGGTATCAGGCAGCGTCTATTTTCGACAGTACAATCTCGCATCCTAACATTCTTCGGACACGTTTCTCGGCGTAACAACCTATCCATAGAACGCCTTGTCGTCCAAGGAAAGGTGGAAGGTACTAGACCGCGCGGAAGGTCTCCCACGCGATGGACTGACCAGATCAAGTCAGCCGTTGGAGGTTCACTAAACGAGTGCAGCAGGATGACCTCTAGCAGGCAGCAATGGCGAAACATAGTGAAGCGCATCACATCTGCCCCCTCCAATAATACTACAAGTGCATAGCGATCACGACCGCTCTGTCAAGAGCGTACCGGCTAAGAAGAAGAAGTATGGGAGAACACACCACTGGAAATATGCAATGAGATACTGTTGTATACATAATCGCAGATTAATATTTGTAAGCGCATGTTGCTTACGATTACAGTGACAACATCAGTGCATAGGCATCCATCGTTTTATCCACGCTCATCCAATGGAATCTGATTGTGGGTCCATTTCTTAAAATTGCATTTTTAACAAGCCTGCTAAAACTCTGACCAACACTTCTTAAATTGAATAATAAAATGTTTAAGTACCAAAAATATATGTTTCAAAATCATCCCATACTTTATTTAGTTCAGCGTTTGAAGCCCTCCAGATTCCTCAAACAATAACAAAAATAATTTCAGAAAATCAGTTACACACAAATAACACCAACCAAATGTGGTCTTGTTGAAGGGTTGGTTGCTTTGATATAATACCTACTTCTGTTTTGGGTTAGTCACTGTTTCCAACTCAGTGTTTCTGTGATTGTATGTGTATTGATGTGATTTTATTTTGGAATTCAAAATTCAGCGAAATATATTAACCCACTAAAAGATTTAGGCCTACCATCCTACCAAGAATTTATAAGCTCTTCTCAAAGAACGAATATCTAAAATCGTACACCGATAAAATGGTCTTAAGCTCCAGGAACTGTTTCCTCTCAACACCGAGAGAACACCCACCCAACACCGTGTCCTCTCTGTATTATAAAATAGCTCTCACAACTTAAATAATCTACTTTAGAATCCATGGACTAAGAAGTAACTCATTTATATTATGTGTTTTGTTTAATCTATTTATTCTGGTCTAAGACTTTTAAAATGTGAGAGTGGAGAGTGGATTTCGAGCAAAAAGGTACTCTCGAATCAGAACATCCGCCTGAGGGAGTAACCTCTTCCTTACAAAAATTGGTGTGGTTTTATGAAACTACGTAGCAAGTGAAACTTATTAAAATTATTAATAAATAAACCATTAATATATTTGAGCAGGAGTCTTTCTTTTCTGTAACGGAAATTAGAAAATCCAAAAAAATAATATCAATCTATTTATCTCAACTGAAATACCTGTATCAAAGTCAAACTGTGTCTCAAACTTAAAATCAATTAGACATGTTTTTTTTAAATACGAATGATAACCGCCGATTTTTTTTTGTTTCCTCCCAGCCCAGGGGGAGCGGGTGTGACATCCTCATGGATACCCTACAGCCAGCAGCAAGGTTATGTCAGACTCTTACTGACTAAAACACACCCGTAGTTGGTACACACAGTATACATACTTGTAACACTTAATTTAAATGGCTCTGTACTTATTTTAATGTTTTCTGTGGTGTTCAATAAAGCGTTTTGTATTGTATTGTTTGTACATAGTTGGTACAGTACACACCGATGCTTATTGATATTATCTGAATTTTTAATAACAAATATAATGCAGCATGCTAAAGATGAAGGAAAAAATATGTGGCAATGTAATGAAAGTTTAAATTTAAAAACTACGTAAATAAAGAATAACTAGGTAACTAGGCACTGAAGGGATTCAGACTGCCAAGGCGAGGAATAGCTGCAGCGGTATATTTTTTTTTCTTAGTCTTTTCGTTTGGACTCCACTTACACATAAGATTTTAGGGTTAGGGGAATTGGGGCGTTTGTATGATAAAAATGATTTCATTACTTCGACATTCATTCCGATGTCTCAATTCGCCGTTCGTTGTCTTGTATGTTGCAACCTAAGCACAGCATTATAAGATACCTGCAACTCCAATTCCCATTGGCATCGAGGCACGGCTGGCATACTCCGTGCCAGCACTGCAAGCTCGCATTACTCAAGGAGTTACAGCACGGCCCGTAGCATTTTTCTCCCAGATCTGAAATGTGGATGGACATGTACCATAAATTATCTTTCACATGTTACATAAAATATATATTTATTTTTATTTATTTATTAGAAAACACATACAGCTATTTTTAACAGGAATACTCCTAATGCAATAGTGTAGTTCTTAAAATTACAATTACTAAAATAAACATAATTGTATTAAAAAAGACAATAAAAAATAATTCCATTTTGTTACTCATAAATTAACATAACATAGTGTACATACATATTTTAAAAAATGAATTAAATTATACTATTTTTATTCAATACTTGTCATCTCTATTACCAATTTTCATTACCACCGATCTTTTAAATAAAGATAATGGACAGTGAAATAAATCAATTCTTACGGCAACTAGATTTAAGGTGTGCAACGTACGCGTCAAAGGTGACTTAGCTCGGTCGCAGCCTGAAATTTTGGAGGGGGTCACTCACTACACTAATAAAAAATAGGTATCTGGAATAAAACAAACATTATTCCACAAGACACTTTTTGACACAAGATTTTTCAATTTGACCTTAGATTAGGGGGGGGGGGGGTCATGTCCCCTGTGACCCCCCCCCCCCCCCTTGGACCGCTGACTTAGCTACTAGATTAGTTCTTGCGGCTGGTACCGCGAATAGTTTCGGCCGCCTGCGCCTCGCCACGTACCCATCCGGCACACTCAGTCTTATCATACCCAGTATTTCTGGATTTGAAATGCTGCCTCGAAATACTCGAGCTTGCTTCGAACAAGAGCATCATACAGAGGCGAATAGTTTTTAAACTTGTAAAGCCCTGCGCACGACGCATGACAAATCCCAGAGTCCTGTAAGCCTTTTTACAGACTTCTACAATGTGCTCTCTGAAAGTTAAATCTGTCTTTAGTTTCACTCCAAGATCTCTAACCTCGAATGTACGCTTCAAAACTTCACCATCGATCTCATATTTGAAGTGGAGTGGTGATTTTGATCTACTAAAACTTATTACTGAGCATTTATTAATGTTAAAATTTAGTTTGTTATTTCGGCTCCATTCGACTACTCTGTCCAAATCGTCTTGCAAACGCACTTGTATATTTCTAGGAGCAATTTGAGGTCATCGGCGAATAATAAACATCGAGTATTCTGTGCTACCTGTGGCAGGTCATTGATCATTATCAAAAATTCCAAAGGGCCTAGATTCGATCCCTGACTTACCCCCGTTCTTGTGAGATACGGTTCAGACCTGCACCCGCCATACTCAACATATTGCTTTCTATCCCTCATGTAGGTAGCGAAAACTTTTAAAGTTTTTTATTGCATCCGACAGCCGCCAACTTTGTGAGAAGTATATCATTATCAACCATGTCGAACGCTTTTTTAAATCAAAGTAGGTGGTATCAACCTGCATCCCCGCGTCCACATGAGGGATGATGTATGCGATTGCATTGAGCAGATTGCTTGTGGTGCTACACGCCTGCCTGAACCCATGCTGAGCGTCCAAAAGTTGCGCCGCTACCTGCTTTTGTATAGTGTTTTGCAGCGCAGACTCGAACACTTTCGCTGGCGACCAGAGTCCCCTTTAGGTATTGGAATCACCCGTGTTGTTTTCCAACATTCTGGAAAATAAGAGTCCTCTAAACACAGATTGTATATGTGTAATAGCGGTTGTGCCAGAACCATGCGACAATCCTTTACAATAAAAGATGGAATGCCATCTGGCCCTGCCGAGAGTTTCGGCCAGAGGTGAGCAAGCGCCGAGCGGAGGTGCGCCAGTGTGAGGCTTGGCAGGAAAACGCTCGAGGCGCTCGCCCCACCTCCAATCTCTGCCGCCTCCACGTCTAGCTTAGCAGATTCCGTACCATAAACCGACTGAAAAAATAATGCAAACTCTTTTGCACATTCAAAATCGTTGAGAACCTTTCCATTTTTGGTAATTATTTTTCGGTTTACAATAATACCATAATTTTGTACCTTTTATGGAGACTCGCTTTTAAACGAATTGCTCGAATTATATCAAGAGTATACCATTCAGGATAAATGTACCTAACGGACTCTTTGTATAATCTTTTCTTTGGTACACAATTACAAATAATATCGTTTATTATTGTATAAAAATACTTAACCGCGTTTTCTGGTTTCCGCATGTCATTTACAGTGGAGTCCAATCGACATCTCCAATCAAGGTAAATAATAAACTATAATCCGCCTTTGAAAAATTACACTGCGAAACTTCGCTATGAAAATGTGAAGATGACGAAAACGGAGACGAGGGCCCGGGTGGTGACGCAGGCGCGCAGGAGTCCGCGGTGGTGCCAGCGGCGGCGTCACCCCGGGCACGGCACCCGATTTTTACCGCGACAGTAAGCGGTGGATGATACTTATCTTTTGATGCTAGGGCTTCATCCGCCTCGCACACATCCACCCGCTCCGCTATACTCGACGAGCATAACACCAAATCCAGCTGCCTATTATTACAATTCGCAACCTTATTCAGTTGTACTAATTCGCAAAATGCTACAAAAAATCCATAATAGTTAATAATATTATCATTACTCGAATGCAGATTAAAATCCCCCACGACTATCATTATTTTATATTTAATACACCATTGTTCTAAAATTCTAAACAACAACATTATATTCATTTTCCTTACTATTAGGCGGAATATAAACTACGCAACATGCAAATAAAAACCTATTATTTAAGTACACTGCTGCACCAACTATCTCGAATGAACAAGTATCTATGTTTATTTCACTAGGTACCTTCATTTGTTGCAGTTCAAACCGGTGGCGGTGTGTGGCCACGAAAAACGCTCCGCCCTGCTTTCGCCCATCCGCCCAGTCACATCGTAGGATTTTATAACCTGGTGGAATGATTTCTGCGTCTTGTATGGATTCGTTACAGCCCGTTTCCGTGATCCCATAGAAATCCGCATTCAAAAAATCTATACTATTGTAAAATAAATCTAGCTTGGTTCGAAGACCTCTTGCGTTTTGATAAAATAATTCAAAAGTGTTATGCTTTGTCGATTTGTTTATTTGTGGGTCTCCGAAACCAAATCCATTTTCCGAATTCCATATTTACTGGCCATTGCTCCGGCTGACACAACTTGTCATAATTTTTTTCGGATACTGTAATAATAAATGATGAATAACACAAGTCAACAAAATGAAAAAAAAATTGAGCCTGTTATTTAATGACTTTTGTCTAATTGTTTATATCGAAAAATAACCAGAAACCTCATTTTTATTTTAAAAAGTTTGCTTTTGTACTTTATACAATGATACATAAATATGTATGACTTTTGTAAAAGGCTGAGGAACTACCGCTTTTAATAAGCAATAGAAAGGACTGCAGAAGGATATTGGGTATGGAATAGGAAGCAGTAGAGTAATCACTCAGTGCATGTACACACCTTTTAGAGAAACGACGTATTTTGTAAATGCCTAGAGCGGTATATGCCTTCCAACAGGAGTGAAAACTACGTGGACCCTGTTTGCATTATTTCCGGAGATTTTATTAAATTTAGGGTCAAAAATGTTGTTTATCCAGCAGTAAAAGGCTTAATTAAGCATATGAAGCGTACTTTAACTTTCTATTCGAAGTCAGGATAAAATATGGGCGTCACATGAGGATATACCTTTCCATGGTATTTTGTTTACTTCAGAAAAAGAAATATAATATTAAGTATGATATATCCTTATTTGATTATTTTAATGTCTCTGTTGCATAAAAATATCTTTTATTTAAACAATTTATTAAGGCTCTACGTCAAAATTCTGAAGCTTTTTTTCCCAAAATTTTCAACTAAAAATTATAAGATATGCTAAAAATATCAATTTTTAAAACTAAATCATAATATTTTTTGTATTCATAGACTTGGTTTATTTGTCTTAAGTAAAGAAAAGAGTCTTAAATAAATATATTAATGATTATTTTCTTGTTATATACAACTTAAACAAAAAAGTTTGCAATTTTCCATGAAATTTAAAATTTCATTCTGATAGCTACAAAAGCAAACTTTTTTAAATAAAAATATTGTTTCTTACATTAATTAGGTATAAGTAATCAAAATCTGGTACAAAGAACTCAGACTCAAAATTCGTGTTGACTGGTGTAATCTTTCTCTATTCTGTGTTTGATCCCTTCTATCTTAATCACTGCGTCTACTCCACATATTCCCCTTACAAAAGTTGTTAGATTATCCTCTGTGGTATCTTTTGTCAACCGCCAGACGTGAAGATGTCTCTTCCGCTCCAACCCTTTGATTTCCGTTACATTGGCATTTTGACCTTTTCTTACTACCTTAGGTTGCACATTTGTTAATCGCCTGGTAGTTTGTGTCACCTCATTGCCGCTCTTCTGCCGATTTCGATTGTCAGACTGATCAAGATTAGGCAACCCTTTAGTGGAACTTCCAATGGCTTTTATTTGTTCATGCGTATTCCTGTCTGTCATAGACTTTTTGGCAGTTTTCCTGTGAACTGTGATCCACTAATTCTTCTTACCCTTGGGGGAAGCATTCGATTCCGCATTAGTATGTTCTAACTGACGATCTATCAGTTGCTCGTCTTCTTGAGAAGTTGAGTCGCCTACTGTTGCCGCTGACTTTGTGGCCTCACCATTCGTATCAATATCTCTGCGTTTCGGGTAGTTACCAGAATGCCGTCGGTACGAATGGTGTTAGCCACACAGTTACTCTGTGATTTATTTACATCTTCCAATATAGTGCCAGATCTCATGCTATCATGTGATTTCTTTACAGAGCTCAATAATAACTCGATGTGTTGGTTACGTTCGCATAACATATTAAGTTGATTTTTTAATAAGGTAGAATTTTCAACCAAAGTGTGTACCTGTTGTAATGCTGTTGTTAAGTGTTTTAGTTCCATATTAGTGATATAACACATCTGTTGAATATCCAAAATACATTTTTCTTGTATATCTAATCTATCTACCAGTTCCATACGTAGTTGTTTCAAATTATCGATAAAAGTGACTTCATTATTTTTCTGTAACGTTTCCGATTGTTTGCTTCGGCTACCGCGCTGAATAGTGACATTCATTTCACTGGAGTTAGCAGCAATCTTCTTCTGCTCTGGTGTTCGAACAGATGTATCACTACTCAACCGTTTTGGTTTCAAGCTTAGGCACTCTGGGCATACCCACTGGCGTTTGTATTCCGTTGTGAAAGATTCAAAATCTGTCTTTTTAAATCCGAGACACAATAGATATACACTTTATTGCATCTTGAATTGCAACACTTCATAGCTAGGCCATCAAGCACTTCTTTACTACAAGCTCGACAGTAAATAGCCATTGCGATAGCCAATACGTGATCGTGGAACTATAAGCCAATATGTTTGTTATAGTTCCACGATCCAATAGAAGAGCGGTCTGCAAGTTTTCGGTTGTACCTACTTTGTTTTCGTCTTTTCATCATCGCCAAAAGTTGTTTGAATTGAACTCGAGCGATGTTCTACTGAGCGAACTATGTCACAGTTATTTTTAAAGAGTTTACTTACTATTGCTACTAATATTATGAAAAATTTCACGAATCCTTAAATTATATCATGCAATAAATGACATATATATATAAAACAAACTGCATTTTAAAGCGTCATACATTTATTTTCTGCTTTAAAAAAAATGTAAGTTCAAAACTAAAGAATATTTTACTAGAAAAAATTCCACTCGGTTCAGGTTTTAGACGGGAAAATATTTTACAAAACAAAAATTGTTACAAAATTTCTAACATTCTAGTTTACCTAGAATTCACTAGATTTTTCTAGCTTTGACATTACGACAATAACTTTTAAACAAGAAAAAGTATGCACGAATTTCATCGAGACGGGCGAACGTGTTACTCAAAAAGTTAAAAATTTTAGCAATTTTCTTAAGGACATGCTTAATTTTTCTTGTATATTTTTTACTCATTATTAAACTATTTTCGCATGATTATAATAAAGTTAAAACTATTTACTTAGTATTTTATTGGGCATCCGCTTGGAATTTTCTGATGGTATTTTAACAGTGATTAATCACCGAACTTTTGCCCATCAGAATTTTAGTAATTGCCACGGCCAATGTCTTTAGTTATTACCAGGGCAATAGCTGTAATTTCAAAATAAAGTGTGTTGCCAACGTGAACCAATGTGCAGTGAAATCCTAGATAAGTGGTTGGTTGCCAATATCCCGTTTTAAGTAGGTATAAATAAGAAAAGATACTGAATATAGTTCAGAAACACCATTTCATACTTAATAAAACTAGTTTTTACGGTTTGATGCACGAACTTTATTTATTTATTGACGTTTCGCAGCCTTTTCAGGTCTGCATCGTTAGAATAATGATTTTTTATTTACTTTGTCGAGCTACCTTCGAAAGAGTTTATTTTTTGTCATAAAAAAGGCTGCGAAACGTCAATAAATAAATAAAGTACGTGCATTAAACCGTTAAAACTAGTTTTATTTGATGAAGGATGTGCGTGAAAACCTAAGAAACAAATACCATTTTATACTATTTTCTCTATTTTACTATTGATGTTTTTCTACTCACTAGGTATTCAATGTTTGAGAGAGAGTTCCTTAACTTTAAATCTGCTCGACTGAACACTATACATTATTTTAATGGCGTTTAAATAGGCAACACTGAATAAATAATTTATTTCAACGTCGAAATACTTAAACAAATCATACGTTTACTCATTTCATTGCCTCTGTTTAAAGTTAGAATGCTCTTAAAATTTCAGTGAAGTTTCAGTGTTAAGCCTTAAAATTAACACCAGGTAGTATTTTACCTACTACATATATTGTTTACTAAAGATTTTTTCTATTTTAATATTTTAATTTGATAATGTTGTTGAGGAGCTCGACGGCGCAGGTGGTTAACGCATTCGGCCTGCGTTCATGAAAGTTAACCAACTTTTACAATGGTCGGTCATTGGATAGGTCCCCAAAAACTTATTATCTTGAGCTCCTCTGTGCTTCGGAAGTCACATAAAGCCGTCGGTCCCTGCTGCAGCTGCCGTCGTTAGCATATCCACCAGTCCGTATTAGGCCCGCGTGGTGGGTCACGCACGACCCAATCTCCCTATTCCATCCATAAAGAAGGACTGTGCCCCAGCATTGTCATCGTATTGTCAATGTTGGGGACATTAATAGGTTGATGACGATGAATGATACTAGAGTGTGTAATACTTTTTAGTGATTTATTGTCACCAGTGATGTACACTGTATAGTAATGATTGTAGTGCATTAATAAACCTTTCTGGCTTTTGTTTGCACTATGTATGTATTAAAATAATTTTAATTTTTAATTGATTAAATAAACTAATTAAAAAACAATAAATTATCCATAATATTTAATATCCTTAATTATATTTAGCGTAGGCGTGAAAGCGTAACAAACAAACACGCAAACTTTTTCACACCACTGGACCCTCAAGATTCGAGTCGAAAGCTAAAAGTGCCCATTGGACCTACATCATTTACATGGCCCATTCGTCCTTCTTAAAAAAATATATTCAATGTGCCCATTGGAACTCTTTTTTATTTTTTGGTATCAATTGGACCTTCAAGATTAGACCCTACTGCAACAGTACTCACTGGACCTTATTTGTATGCCACAGACCGACCTCGCTTAAAGATTATATAGAATGTGCCCATTGGACCTTATTGACAGTTCTATGAAGAAAAGTACAGTCATATAGAAAAATTAAGCCAAAAATGAAATTACCAGTTGTTATAAAGCCACTGACTTCAAACAGTAAGTAGTCCTCAAAAAATTTATAGAAAAGCAGGTTGTCTTTCTTGAAGTTTCTTCAAAAATTATATTACGCCTGTCAGAACTAATATTATATCATCTCAAGCACGTACATATTGCAATAAATAATGTGTTTATGTTTTAGACGGAAATTAAAGAAGACCCAGAAAATTTAAAGGTAATTTTGCACACCCTCGAGATCTTACTGTAGACTGAAAAAAATGCACTGCAACTAAGTAGTATTTTCTCTTAGTTGGCATCAAATTAATGAGAATAACATTATTCTTGCATACTAAAAACAAGCTATTTGTATCAGCAAGCAACGAGAGCTAGTTGTAATAGCAAGCCAAATTTATATGATACATTAATAACTCATCTGCTTATTTAAATGCGTTAAACACGCTGAAAATATTCAAAATGAAGCTTCAGACAAGCACATTTATGTGAAAACTTCTTTATATATATTATTATATTTATTTACGAAAAAAAACATTTCATAAGAAACATGTGTACGTTAGAAGCTGCTGAAGTATAAAAACTATGTTCCAGCTGCTAACGTTATATACGTTGACGGGGACAGTGACGATTAATCAGATGTATATATATAAAGTTGTTAAAAATTTTATGAAACATATATAATAGCAAATGAAACATTAATTTCCCATAAAATATGTTTTTTTTAATTACACATCCACTCTGATAATATGCATCAATATAAAACAAATGAGCAAGTTTATATAGAAAAGATTAATAACAGTGAAAAATTAAATATTTTAATGTATCAATAGTTCTTATCGAGAACAGTAATGCACATCTCTGCGCTTAAACAAAAGGATGGCACGGATATCATATGTGGGAGAGAGAGAAAAATATTGCTGTCTCGTTCCGATCTATAGACCTATGTTGTAGATCTATATGACCTATGTTGTAGCTAAAAAATAATATTTCTGCAACAAATAAACAATATTTCTGTCTCGTTCTTGCTTATTTTTACATCCCAAAAAACTACCTAAAACCATATGTATAGTTAAGTTAACCTAACTTATATTTTTATTTCTTCAAAATTAAGGTACTTAATTCTGTAATTTGATTTTTATTTGTTTCTTAGGTTTTCACGCACATCATTCATTAAATAAAACTAGTTTTTACGGGTTAATGCACGAAACTTTATTTATTTATTGACGTTTCGTAGCCTGTAAAGGCTCGTCGTCAGAATCAAACTTTTATTTAATTTGTCGAACTACCTTCGAAAGACTTTTATTGAGCGTTCGGTTATTTCATTATTCGATTTATTGATATATATTATTTGTTATTTTTATAGTCAATAAATGGTCCAGTGGGTACAAGACTTCTTGAACGATCTGTTTTAATTTTCATTACTACATGTGCACCGCTGGCTATAGCCGGAATGCGGTAGGGATTACTTACATTTAATTCAAATAACATTTGCACGTGCTTAAAAATAAAAATTATAACTATAATTGTTATCTCTTCTTTCAAATGTTTAATACTTGTAAAAGTATTCATTTGACATTGTGGGTTACCTACAATGCGAAGAGATGGCGCTGCCTTGCAGCTTAAAAATGGCTAGGCATTCGCCCGGTTAGCGAAGGGTGCGGGTTCGAGTCCCGTCTGCTGCCTGGTCCGCGTGAAAATTTTTCTAGTTATATTTTCTTTAGATTTAAACATCAAGCAGTTACATGCTTAAAAAATAAAAATGATAACAAATAAGATTTACTAAATAAAACCAAATTTATTTACCTGGACACTTAACGCAATCACTTAGGAAGTGGTTCGGAATGAACCCGTCCGCGCAGTAACAATTCCCTTCGAGGCATTGGTATTCTTCACCTTGGCACTTTGTAGAACATGGTCCTGCTAATGTGAGTGAGAAATATCGAATTTTTATTTAAATACATTCAACTTGCTATAAATTAAAACGGATTTTAGGAGCAGAGAACTTAAATTTGACAACAGTGTATCCTTGTCATTCTCTATACAAAATGAATAGGAGAGACTGATGTTAAATTCAGATTTAAGAATCATGCCAGAATCGACCCCACCAGCGTCTTTAATTTAGACGTCGTGCAGCGTCTGTGCAACGACGACTCTTGAAAGACGCTAGTGGACGCTAATGTGGGGGGTTTATTTAGGCGTAAAATTACACTTGGTTCACGAAAGACATTACTTGATTTCCGGCACCCAATGCAACAATATTTACTCACGTTCGGTTATTAGAACACGGACAAAGGACCCTGCGCCCGCGTTCGTGTTGGAACGTATCAGTGATGCCAGATTGGGGAGATCCCCCCCAAATTTGAAAGGCGTAACCAAAACGAAAGCTGTTCATTTACATTTAGTCTATCGTAAACGAGCTAACGACCAAGCGTAATTGCGTCTTTGGAGAGGTGGATGACTGTGGATTAACCACCCTAATCGGAGCGTCAGTTAATCTCCACCTTACAGAAGACAGAGCAGCTAAATAACATCATTTGGCTAAGGGGGTAACTCGGGGAAAAATATATGATCAGATCTTGGATTGCCAATTTTTAAACTTTTATATCGGTCGTACATTATTTTTTGGTGTTCGAGGTAACTTTTGTAAAAAGTTTTTTACCCCAGCATGCGACACATCCATATATATCTAGAGGTCATGAGTACGATATAAATATATTTTTTGTATTTTTTATTTTCAATAACATGGAATATGAAATTTTGGTATATGATGTCCCATATGCTGTATTTAAACAACAAATACTGAAAAAGCAGCTTTATTTGTTGTACGGAACGCTCCGTGCGAGAGTCCGACTCGCAGTTGGTCGGTTTTTAGGTACTATTTTTGCTCTCTTTGTCATTTTCACTCGATTCGGTAACTACAGGCTGCTACAAAAGGCTGGTACCGAGGCTATTAAATGTCACTGTCATATTCATAGTTACAATGTGACGAAAACAGTCACGTGATTTTTGATACAACCAATTACAGTTAAGTTTTTATTTATTTTTAAGCATTTAACTGCTAGATGTTTAAATCTAAAGAAAAGTTTACTAGAAAAAAAAATCCACGCGGACCAGGCAGCGGACGGGACTTATTTTTTTTTTCTAGTAAACTTTTCTTTAGATTTAAACAACCAACAGGGAAATGAATTCAAACCTATAGTATTAGCTGTCATCTGTTATTCAATGACTAATTGCGTCTAGGTAGATTTGTACGCAGATTCCATTTTTAGGGTTCCGTAGTCCTGACAAGGAACTTAAGACTATTTTTCGATTTAGGGCTCCGTTTGCAAAATATTGAACTTCAAATTGCTTATTTTTGGTTTTGGTCTGTTCGAGTAGGACTCCCCCCCCCCCCCTCTAATAGCTAAACTATCGGCTTGAAAAACCTGGAAAAATTCATGATAATAGATAGTGCTTTACATGAACTTTTAAGGAAAACTATAACGGTTAGTTTAAGAGTAATAGTCGTTCAACTTTGGTTAAAGAAAATTTCTTACCTATTGAAAATGCCTTAGAAGAAAACATTAATAGTGAGTGACATAGATGAAGTTATGGTTGCGTAAGCGGGAATGATCGATTCAGATGAAGCTAGTAAGGCCCTTTCGGCCATAAGCATGAAATACGCGTGTGTTTTAGTCAGTAGAAGTCTGACATAACCTAGCAGATGGATGTAGGGTATCCATGAAGTTTCACACCAGCTCCTCCCGCCTGGGAGGAAACAACAAAAAAAAAATCAGCGGTTATAATACTAATTAAAAAAAATGTGTTTCATTATTTAATAACATTTTGCTAACTTTCCATGTGAAGTTGTATTTTACACGTCCTTTTTCAGATATCATCGTCCTTGGTTAAGGTTGCCAGGTTGCCAGGTTGCCATACCTAATAGCCGGACAGACCAGCCAGTTTGGCCTGATATTTGGATAACAAGGCAGGACACCCTTCATTATTCAGGATTTCGTGACACGCTGGACAACTGAAAAGCTGGACACCGTTGATTTTAGCCGGACACGCAAATCAAAAAGCCTAACTATGTCCAGCTTTATCCGGACGCCCGGTAATGCTATCCTTGGTGGAGCCGTTTATAATTGTTAAGAAGAAGTCGATCAGAATATGATCGATAACCCCGAACGATTTAAAAGATATCATTAAAATTTGAACCCTAAGCCGTTTTCTGATGATTATAATTTTGAGTGACAACGGTTATAATGAACATTAACTCAATTAATTATAATATTCCGATACAGAAAATAAAGACTACAGTTCAAATATATTGTGGTAACGACAAGCACTACGGAACTCTTCACTGCGCGTGGCACGACACTACTTCATTACATTACTGGCACTAGTCCGTTTATAAGTATCACGTAGATAAATCCAACCATAATATATTGTTTGTAGGTAGGTAGTTGATAATGTTGCGGACTGAACCTCTCTAAGCGTCATTCATCTAGAATAAGACCTGGGGATTATAAATTCCGTGAAGCAGTGTTCAACGGAACGTACTTGGTTGGCATTGGCATTATTTTCATGCCATGCGTATTAAATCCTTTGTACCGTCCGTCGGTTTCTGTTTACTATTCCTAAAGTTTTACAATATAAATCAATTTACTTTTGTGTTAAAGTGTTATTATTTATATTGTTGTTATTATTTTAATTTTATTAGCATATTTTCCCTATCACAATATCTCACCATGTCTTTATGCCAACACACTTAGTGGATGACTGGTAGTTATTGCCTCGGCATTATGTCCGTCGTTTGCTTATGTATAGAAATAAAGTTTAAATTAAATAACTTGCCAAGTGCGTGTCGTGCCACGCGCAGTGTAGGGTTTCGTAGTTGCCTGTAATTACCTCAATTATTTTTCATTTTCTATATCGGAAATTATGAAAACTAAAGAATATCAATCTATGTATCTCAACTAAAATACCTAAATCAAAGTCAAACTGCGTCACAAACTGAAAATCAATTTGATATTATTATTTTTTAAATACGAATGATAACCGCCGATTTTTCTTGTTTCCTCCCAGATGGGGAAGCGGGTGTGAAACCCTCATGGATACCCTACAGCAGGCTGCAAGGTTATGTCAGACTCTTACTGACTAAAACACACCCGTAGTTCATGATTAGGGCCTTATAAGTTTCATCTGAAGCGATCATCCCCTGAGAAGGGTAAGGGTCCATATGTCTGCTACATATCAACTCAGAAAGGGATCGTCACCGTATCCCACTGTGCCGCTTGCCGTCAAACAGGCGTCCATCTGACGTAACGATGTAACGTACGTTAGGATCGACTATTGCTAAGCAACGCCACGCTTACAGCTCGCCAACCGCTGGACGGCACCAGTTTAATCGGTCATAGAGAAAGTAAGCACTCCGTTTTAAAAGTCGGCACTTATCTGTAAACGGATTGGTTACTTTCTATATGGACAGCACGTTCGGCCGCGGGCGGCAGGGAGCGTGAACGAAGAGGCGTAAGTTAGGATACGGAGGGACGTAAGCTAGGCTACGGAGAGACGAAAGCTAGGGTACGGAGAATTGACCACGTTCGGGAGCTTATTCCAAGGCGAGGCGATTATGTTATGATTCCGATTAGTGTGCGTTGAAATAGGAATTTTCATACAAATAATACTGAACGGCTGAATTGATACGGTGACTATCCCTTTCCGAGTTTATATGTATGTCTGCTACGACCAATATACGTTCATCATCTCGTTTAATACCTGTATATAGCCAAATAATAGAGTCTGATAGCAAACGGCTCATGACTGTGCTTGACGCGATTCTAAGCAACAGCAAAAATTAAATTACGTTGAAAATCTTGTAACTGCCAATGCTTCAAAATCTTTTCGTCAAATCAGAAAGTGATTTCTTTAGCGTAAAATAGTAGATTATTAACCAAAGGGATAAAGCAGTGTCTTCTGTCGCGGGTGACGATTTAGATCGCGAGTGTAACGAAGGACTCGAGGTTTACTACCGAGCGTAGCGAGGGTGTTAAAAACTTAAATCACGAGCGAAGCGAGGGATTTAAGACGAGTCCTGAGTGTAGCGAGGGATTTAAGTTCACCCAAGACTAAGACAGCTTTATCACCGAGGAAAATACTCCACTTTTCGTACCATTTGCGAAAAAATTAACACAATATTAATATGAGATAAGCATTTATTAAAAATAATGACAATTAAAAGTAAAAGTTAACATTCGAAACATTGGTCCAATTATTGATAGAGAGAGTTACATTTTTGTTTGGTACATTTATTGTTGATGAGTTGATTTGAGTATTTCTCTGTTCTTGCGTCTGAGGAACTTGCGTTTCATTGTAGATAGTATACGTCGGAGATAGTGGTGGTGGTGCATCGTGAGTTACGGACGAAGATAAGATGCCGGAAGTTGATGGTTGTGACGGATTAAGTTTTATATTTTTGTGAATTTGACTGCTTAATATGTTTTTATTCGTCATTGAGCTTTCGATATAACCCTCAGCTACTCTATCAGAGCTCCAGCCCCGTGTCTTTTTATTGACGTAATATCCGCCCCTGAATCCGCCGAAGTTCTTCTAAAGCAGTAACCGGTGTAGTGTTCAACATCTTTAAGTTTTAAATATTTAGCGATTTCCTTTGGCATATTGCTAATTTTATTTTTGCCGATGGCTTGTCGAGTACATTTCCCATTCCGATAGTTTATAAAAAATTTATTGTTTTCCATGTTGGTGGGACATAATGCTTGGTATTTATGAATGATTTTAGAATATTGTCCTTGTACAATTAATAACCGATTTTTCTTTATCTTAGTTTCCTTTACATTAATCAGCAGTTACTCATTGGAATGATTTTCAACGTCCTCCACCTTTAAGTTTACAAGTTCACATCCGCGAAAAGCACCATT